ATGTTAAAGGAGGACTCCTGATGTTAAGGGAGGACTTCTGATGTAGAGAGGGGTCCTGATGTGAAGGTTGGCTTCTGATGTCATGGGGAAATCTGATGTTAAAGGGGGGCTCCTAATGCAAAAGAGGAACTTTACCCATATCTTTTAAAAAAACTACAAAGACACCTTTAGAAATGTTTAGTAATGACAATCTACTAAACAGGTACTTCTGTAGGCTTCTGACAGTGACCATTTTTACTAAGGGCAGATTAATATATCTCCCGTTACTTCCTTGAACTCTGGCACATGTGACTAGGACATGTGACCATGTACATATTTTTAGTCTAGGAAATGCCTTTCCCTGAGATCTTATGAGATTACAAATGAGATTTCCCAGCAATGCTCTGCTGATGTGATGATTACATAACTTGTGGGAAAGTGGTCCAGGAATTGGATAAACTATTTTGTAAGTAAATGAAAAACATGTGCTTAACCAATGAATGTAATATGAAAATAAAGAGCTGCATGCTGATGTGATTTTTAGTGAAATTGGGTAGAGGTCCACTTTAAGGGGATTCTGATGTAGAGTGGGCTCCTGATGTAAAGGGAGGTTCCTAGTGTGAGAGGGGGTAACACTGATGTGAAATGGGTAATTTTGATGTGAAGGGGCCTCCTAATGTGTTTTTTTGCATGGGGTCCCTACTTAACATTCATACTTTTTCTTTCTGATTTAAGTTCAGCATTAATATGTTAGCAAATTTTATTTCTGATTTAAGTTCAGCATTCATGTTAGCTAATTGTTCCATAAAATATTTATTATGAATAATTTCAGTGCTGTACAAGAGCCTATAGAATTGTTGTTTGCAAAATTTGCATTGAGATTGTAGTCCATTGGAGTGGTGGCTACTTTACAACACACACAGGGACCATGGGGAACAAAAGTAGCCCCCCAGAAGGAAGGACAGTGTCAGCACCAATTCAGGGATGATTTGAGGATCTACAGCCAAGTGATGCACAGATAAGGTACATTTTTGTTAATAGTTAAGGTACTTGAATGCATTTTTAAGATTTAACTCCTGAGTTTAGTGTTACTTTAATTCTCTGAAAATGTATTGAAGCCACTGAATCAGTTACACTTTTGGCAAATTCCACTCCCTCACAATTTGTGCAGCAGATGTCCAGACAGTGGAATTGGATTATGAACACTGAAGCAAAGAAAAAAAAATCTGTTCTTCATTGCATCTAGTCTGATTCCATTTTCACTTTCCCACTGCAAGTGAATGGATGCTAAAATTTCAATGATGAAAAAATTGCAAATATTCCCCAGCGTGTATCTCTTATAAGTGTATATTATTCATAGAGCCTATTGAACCCCAGAATTCCTTTTTAAACGGAGTCTGAGCGCCAACCCCAATTGTGCAAAATGTCATCAACAACAGGGGACTTTGATTCACCTCTTTTGGTGATGTCCGAAGCTTAAACCATATTGGTCAGGCGTAATTACTATGTTGAATAGCATTTATGTCATATGGCTGGAGCTTGAACCCCTAACAGGTATTTTAGGGTGCTATGATTCCTCAGGTATGGACTGGAATATATCTTTAGCATTAACGACAGCACTTTTCTTGGCCTGTAAATTATTAGTTCAAAAATGGTTATCATTATACCCTCCTACTACGGAAGAATGGAAAACAGAAATATATAAATAACAGTGCTTTTTACAGTTTAGGCAGTGTAGGAATCAGCGTCAAGTGCAGCATTTGTAAGGAGCAAGGCCACACATCAGGTTGCATTTTAGGGCTTCTAGAGATTTTTTTTTTTCCACAGAACAAAAAAATGCAAGTCCATCACAGGGGTAAAAAGAACACAACACCACAACACAAATCGTGTGCCTCTTACCACAGGCTGAATCTAAAGGTGCCCATACACCTTAAAATTATCTGAAGATTTTTGTCTGCAATTGCATTTTTGTCCAAAAAACTGCCAGTTGATGGGAAGTGCACAACCTAAATTACTGTACAATTGGCAGATTTTTGTCTTTCAAGCAGGCTAGAAAACTTTTGTCTAATTGGAGAAAAATGGACAGGTTAGTGGCGTTGTTGTACAACAAAAATCTCAAGATGAAAACTGCACATGCTCAAACGAAAATCTGTCCTTTCAATCGATGAAAATCGGCCAGGTGGTGGTGCTGACGAACGTTAATTGCGAACTACATTGGTCTGTGCATGATGACCTAGTTGTAAGAAATTGAACGAGGGTGAGATGTCTGGACAAAAAAAGTTGTATGTTGTTGGTTGTAAGGTGTATGGCCCCCTTTAGCCCTCATTCACACTAGAAATGGCCGGCATGTACAGCTCGGTGCTGCGTGCACGGCCGTACCGCGCAACTCCCGGGAGGGACAGGTGCTGCGTGTGATTAGTACGCAGCCCCTGTCCTTCTCTATGGGACTACGCGGCCATACACCCCCCTATGCTCACCTCAAGTGCAGGTCCGTACGGGTGCGTTTGTCCCGGCTCGGACGCAGACGTGATCCATCCTGTCAGTGTACAAGCCAGATTGCAGGGAGCCAACAACTCTACCCGATAAAACACAAGAGTCTGGGTGACACATACACCCCATCCTGAACAATGCCATTGAGTGGCTGTCTGTCACATCAGGCATTTAACACTTAAAACAAACGTTTTTTTTTACATTATAAATGTTTATATTTGAAATATATAACAAAATGTAACAAAAATGTAATATGTTGCATCTCATCACTTCTTAGATGTGGTGCTTGCATTTCGTTTTCTTTTTTCAGGACAAGAACATTTTCAGGAAGTATAGAAAATACCTTATGATCTTAGCTAAAATGTTCACTTCCTGTGAGCTGACCTGAAAGCATTAAGCAATGTTACTTATCCTGTAATTGTTTTCCTGTATAATGAGGCATCTCATGAGGGAGGGCAGCAGGCAGAGTGGCCTGCCGCCCCTTTCCAGCCAGAGCCCAGCTTTCCAGCCCTAGGGCCCCCCCATGCTTCAGACGGCAAAAAAGTTAGGGACTCCCCTGAATCTACTAATATCATCATACAATGGAGATGAACAAAGGCATATACTCAATCTATTCTGAGTAGCAACCACGGCTTCCTCTAAAGTGACAGTGGAGGAGTAAGAGCCACTTAGTGACATCAAGTATGTTATTCGTCGGATTGCCTGGTAAAAAGTAAAGCAATAAAAGCCAGACGAAGAGAAAACAAATGCAGTCATCACATCTAAGCACTGCTAAGCTGCAATATATTACATTGTTTTTGGTTTTGGGCTTAGATATACTTTAAAAGACCAACTGAAACCAACAATGTTGTTTGGAAGGAATCAACTTTTTATTCCTTTCTGTAGCCCTGTTTGAGATTTATTGTCATTTCCTATCTATTTTACATGAATAAGACATAACAGTAAGTAAGAGGAATTCTCCAAAGACAACATTAAAATAATTTTTCTACTAGAGTAGAGAGGGGTTAGTTTTTGTCAGGTTTCATTGCTGTCTGAGTCCTTATTAAATTTTCTCCTCAATTTCTGTCCTAGGGATGAGTGTCAAGGTGCCCTCGCAAGACTTTTGTCGTGCAGTGCAGTGTATGGGCACCTTCAGACAGAGGAGGGCATGAGAAGAATATAACCAGGGAAACCTGGCTTTCAGCTGATTTGGCTTTAAAATGTAAACTTAGATTATCTACATGAATATTATGGAGTTAAAATATTTTATTTATTTTTTGCATGCATCATGCAAGATTCAAACAGCTTGTCAAAATCATAATGCTGCCATGTTGTTACAAACGTGACATGATAAGTTAAGTATCAACCTGGGATGTGTCATCTGCCATTAGTTGTCTCATCTGCCCTATTTAACAGGTTTTGTTTAATAATGAGTCTCTTCTTGTTTAAGAGACAGTTACAACAAAAGTTATAGTCTAGAGATGTACATGAACAAAGCAATAAATCCTATTTGTTCCGTGAGGGCTTTGCTGGTTGATGTTAAATAACTCTTCTAATTGTACTTAGTTATCTTAACCTTTTGTAGTCTTTGTTTATTTATTAGCTATACATGGGATAGTGATCAGTAAAGGGATAATCTTGCTATTAGTACAGTTATCCTTTATGTGTTCAACTCTTAAGCTTAATTGTACCCACTCTTCTAAGGTCTTCACCGTGTAGCCAGGTGGGTGCCGCACAACCCCTTTATCAAAAGTTTCCTGGCTGTGCTCTGCTTTTTCTGTGTACATTTGCCCCAATCCCCATTTATTTCTGTGGGAAGGATATTTATCTTTCAGCCCAATGGTAGACAGTCTTTCCAAAGAGGTCATGAATAAAGAGATGTGGCACAAAAGAAGAATAGCCCAGCCAGGAGACTTTTGTAGAAGAGACTATATGATACCTAATGGAGCACACAGTAAAGATCTTGCATTGGTTGCTTGTGAGGTGGGCATATAAAGGATACCTGTACTTAAAGTGGAACTCCAGGGTTAAAACAATTAGCACAGTGGCATGGTGGTTAGCACTTCTGCCTTCCAGCACCAGCATCTGCAAGGAGTTTGCATGTTCTCCCTGTGCTTGTGTGGGTTTCCTCTGATTTCCTCCCACACTCCAAAGACATACTGGTAGGTTTATCGGCCCTTGTATGTATGCGTGTGAGATAGGGACCTTAGATTGTAAGCTCATTGAGGGCAGGGACTGATGTGAATGTGCATGTAAAGAGCTGTGTAGATTGTCTGCACTATATAAATACCTGTAAAAAATAAAAATAAAACCATTCCCACACACTGCAAGGGTTAACTGTTTATTTCGGTCTATGGGCCGGAATACAGAAGATGTGACCCTCGGTCCTGAGAGCTCTTTCCCTCTCCATTCCAGTTGTGGAATGTCCCTCGGCATTCTCACATCTTATGCAGGTGAATGGACTGCATTAGACATGGTGATGTCAGCAGTATTTAAACCTTTGTAGTCCAGGGGAGAAGAGACTGCGGGAACCAGTACAGCAGCCAACCAGGATGAAGTATCAGGTAAGTATATTGCTGGCAGCAGGCCCCTTTAAAAATAGCCATTGGGGACTCTGTTTAAATTTTTGAAGCTTATAGTTGGCTGTTGGCTGTTCGCTTTACACTGGAAGTGATTCTGGCACTTCCAGTGGACGGTGCAGTACCAGAGCCCCTCCTTTCCCTCCTTATGTCCCAGATATTTTTTGGGGTTTTATTTTACACATGTCTCAGCTACGTGCCTTATACCTTTTAGTTTGTACGCTTTTTTTTCTACTTTGGTCGTTACATCTCAACACAAGTCAGAAATTACAACAACAGTGACATTTTCACAGGTTTATGATTGCTAAAATTCCAAATGACATTGTGCGTTGCGTTGTTTAGCATATGCTGAAAAAAGTACAATATTTTAAGTCAAAAGGGAACATGGGAATTCCTGAGCAAAAAATTATGGAGTTCTAAAAAGATATGAGAACCCAGTAGGTGATTCAGGTCACCAGCATCCTCGGTGCAGTTAACCTTAAAGTTTTATTGTTAATAACACATTTCTTGTCCTAGAGTGGGCCACTTATTGTGCTCTATCTATGGAGGAACAGCATTTTCCCCCTAGGACAAGAAGTGTGTTTGGATTTCCGGACACCTCCCCTTCTCCTTATGTCCATAACATGAGGGGGTTCTGTATGCCACAGAGGTGAACTAGACAGGTCTGATACAACTATTTTAGATAACACTGCAGAGTGCACTGGACCTAGGACAGCTTCAGATTCCTGGCAGGATCAATACATATATTTTAGAGCCCAACCAGAAGTAAATAAAATAAATAATTGTTAAGGTTTATACTTTAAAGGTGAACTATGGGGTTAGGGCTTTTCCCCATAGTTCTCCTAAGGCTAATGGGAGGACACAAATTAGCGTCCTCCCATCACCCAAAGCTAAGTATAGTGTGAGCTACACCTCGCAGTATACTGAGACGCCGCAGCCGGAACGGATCCCGACATTGCTGTCGAGATCCACCTAGCTGCGGGATTGACAGCTGGCTCTGCCTATCCAGAGGCAGAGCCAGCTGTGCCCGCCCACTCCCCCGTCCGTTCCGCCAGTCTGCGCTGGAGGATAGGATCAGGGGAATCCCTGCAGGGAGCCACAGCCAGGACGGACAATTATGTCTGGATCCACCCAGCTGCGTGAGTGACAGCTGGCTCTGCCTATCCAGAGGCAGAGCCAGCTGTGCCCGCCCACTCCCCCGTCCGTTCCGCCAGTCTGCGCTGGAGGATAGGATCAGGGGAATCCCTGCAGGGAGCCACAGCCAGGACGGACAATTATGTCTGGATCCACCCAGCTGCGTGAGTGACAGCTGGCTCTGCCTATCTAGAGGCAGAGCCAGCTGTACCCTCCCCCGTCCATTCCACCAGTCAGCGCTGGAGGATGGGACAAAGGAGGGGGGAATCCAGTCCCTCCCCTGTCACGGCTCTCTGCCGGCACAGGATCGAGAAGTGAGCGAGCGCCGGTATGTGTTCGCTCACTTGCCGATCTACTGAGCCGACCTAATTTCATTGTCACAGGACGGCTCAGATTATGAGGCTGAGTGAAAATCACTCACCTCATAATTCTCCTTTAATATCAGAAACAGTTTGTCTAATGTAAAATATTTGTTGCTTTTTCTCTTGGCTTTCATTTTTGTCAGAATACACATATTTGCTTACTTTTAAGGAGCAAATTGGTTAACAGATAATACCCTACAATTTACCATCATTCTGGTAGAAAATAGGAATTAGTGGTTTGCCAGTCTGACATTATTTATTTAATCAAATTTACAATCTATCCATAAACATAAACATAAAATAATCATTGCTGGAGACTGCCAGGCTGCAATCAGAGAGGGGTGCATGAAATATTCCACAGCTGTAGACAAAGCAACCCATCCACAAGCTTCCATCTAAGGCATCACAACGCCAACCCATTAATTAGTCCTCCGCTAATGATCAGAGGTATTTGTGCAGCTGTTCCTCCTAAGTCTCGTTTCAAGCTTGAGATATATTATTGTTGTTACAAACAATTGAACACAGATTATAACAATGCCAATTCTTCTTGCCGAATAAATATCACTGCACTTGAATGGTCAATTTGTTAGAGAACAAACAATAGAAATAAATAAATAATGCAATAACGGTAGAATTTGATGATAATTGCGCCTGGGCACATTACTTATTGGTGTAAATACAGCAGCCGCACAAGCAGTCTAGTAACAGGATGCATCAGAAGCATTCTCAGAACACATCTCTGCACTTTCGTGCTTGTTATTAAGGGTTGTCTTATTATCTTACTAACCAATGCGGCATAACAATCTGAAATGTGTACCTTGAATGCTGAGAAGGGATGTTTATGAGTTACAACTGCTCTGAATGGAAAATATGTATATATCCTCAAAAGGAATTCTCAAAGTGTCACTTTTTTCTCAAATGATCATACTCCTCCCATAGCCTGTAGTTCTCAAAGTAAATCTAAATCCAACACTAACATCTCATTTAAGTTTTAACATGTTAATGTAATTGCAAAAGTTGTTTTCAGTCCTTATAAATATGCATGTTTCAATGAAGCAACCCTTTCACTGTTCTAAAGATACTGAATGACAGGATCCCTGTAAAGGAATAGGCTAATTTAGAAACATGTCCGGCTGGGGCAAAGAATATTGCCCCAGCAAGAATAGGGATAGCTCAGGTTCGGACTGAACCTGGTCTGAACCTAAGCTCTACTTAACACTGAAGGAGCTCCTCCAAAAATGGAAGGAAGCTTCTTCCACTGCTGCCCAATCAACTGAGGTGAGGGAATTCCCCACCCACACCAGCACGTAAGCAAGATGGCAGGGTGCAGTGATGCTATTAACCTTATATGGCCCCATGACATATAATTGGCAAATGAAATGTACCTAACATGGTCATGTGTCCATATAATGTAAATTATGTCAGCACCGGCATACTGCCCATTGTGTTATGTGCAGCTGCAGGACGGGGAAAGCCCCATCCCACCGCTGATTGGGTGGGTGGCCCATGGCACTTCCTTGGTCAGAGGTCAGGTTTGTTAACCAAAAGCAGTGCCCAGGACTCTTGAATGGAGATGAGCCCAGGTTTGGCCGGAACCTGAGCTCATCCCTATTCAAGAGCTCTGGGCACTGCTGTTGGTTAAGAGATACTTCTGGGTTGTATAGTGTGTCCCCTGCCATGTTCTGTAGCTCCTCCCGATGACCCCTATGTCACTAAGCCATTTAGTAACTGAAAATAATAACAGGGTCTCTTTAGAATGATACATGATGATGCTGCCACAAAGGTCCTATTTCAAACATTTCCTGTTATAGAGTGACAACTGTCCTACAATTGTACTCCTGTTATGTCTGCTTGTCACATGTGCCCCAAGTTGAGCCTACGTGTAGCCATGCTGACACACATGTTGCAGCCATGGTCCGCCATTGTCAAGAGCAATGATGTGCACCAACCTGGAGCCAGTGCATGTATACAATAAGTAGCTGTAAGATGATGCAGGAGATCAGCAGCATGGATGTGCAAAACATGAAAACAGTATTTTATAGGAAAACTGTTTATTATACACAGTGCTAATTAAGTGCATCAAGTGCCAATCAAGTGAAAATAAATTGATGTTCTGGTTTAAATTTACTTTAAGGAGGTAGGCCGAATGGTCTCAAAATTCACATGTAGGGCCCCCTGTATTGCAGCCCACCTATAACTGTAGCGTGTGCATGTTTACCATTATGAGATAAATCCCATTACCACTGTAAGTTTCTAGTGAATTTAGCTACACATCCAATTGCTCTAGTAACTATGAAACCACTTATACTAATGTCACTTAAAACAAATCCATCATGCAAAAAAACTGTGTGTAGGCAATCAATGCTGGCTTTCATCTGAAAATGCTAGGTGTCCGGCTGCCATACCAGTCCTCCTATTTTTTTATATACTGACCCAGGGCAAGTGTGCAAAACTGAAGAAAATATTAAAGGGAATCTTAATGTGCAAAGCAACAGGTTCCCTCTAATTCCAGCCCCATCAGCTACACATACTTGCCCTTCCTTTACTCCCCCACTGCTTCATTTTGCCTCCAGAAATTAGGGAGGGCTAGAGACTTGGAACTTGCATAGTACTGAGGTCTCTATTTCTACCCCAACAGTATGTGTTTGGGTACCTGGGTGGGCACTCAGCAAACATCAAAACTGTCAAATGAGAGAGGAGTGATCATAATGCTCCCCCATACCTGGAAATACTGGTTAGGTGAGTATGTACTGCTTTAAAGCTGCTATTAATTGAACCTGTTTCTTTGTCCCGAGAGGGGTGTAAGGATTGTAGCTATGATTGAGTCCCCATTGCTAGGGTGGGAGCAGTTCAATGGCAGCTCTTGCAAGTAGGTCGATGAGTTTCAGGCTAAGCTTCTGTACTCTTATTATGATCTGTTCTTTGAGTCTCATTATCATAATGTAATAACATTCTCTTAGAATTGTGTCTGTGTTTTGTGGTGTTAGTGTTTTCCACACCATTGCATGTACGTTTACTTCATACATAAAAGATATGTATGGATGATAGTTTTTGATGGCTGTAATATTGTGCCCTCTCACTTGTATAATATTGTTCAAGTAAGCATAGCTTAATAATTGTTTTTGGAAAGGTATCGTTCTATAAGGGATATCTGGCAATTGCAGGGCTGAATTCATGTAGACTAGAGAAAATAAAAGTTGCAATCTCAGCATTTATAACAAATCACAAGTCTTCTTTCTTCATTTCAAATTTTTTGGAAGAATAACGAATGAAAATTATTATAGGCTGTATTTCCACTGCCCAAACTTCCTGGTCTGCAGGTCATGAAATTTTCACTGTCTCTCTCTCTCTTTCTCTAACTGTACAGAAACTTTCTGTATCTAAAGTTTCTATAGCCTTCAGAGGCTTAAAGTCTAGGACTAGTGATTAATGGCATTTCCAGAATACACTTTACACCCAGGGAATTTAAGCCTAAATTAGCTTATAGAT